CTATTTCCTGTCTTAATGTGTTTTATACCCCACCTCCTATAAACTGTAAGTTCTTCTGAGCAGGGTTCTCTTCAACCTATCGTTCCTGTAAGAGTTCTTGTAATTGTCCTATTTGTAGTTAAATCCCCCTTCTCATAATATTGTAAAGCGCTACGGAATCTGTTGGTGCTATATAAATGGCAATAATAATAATAATAATAATAATAATAATAATGCATTTTTTAGAATTCTTGTTTTTCATTTAAAGCTGCAGTTACCCCAGGATATACTCCCTCTCTTTGTAACATTCAGTTAATAATCCACAGTAATGTTTGGCTAAAATGGCTTCTTTCCTTTCCTTATTGGTAATACACAATGATGCTGCTTTGTTAACAGACAAACTGCAGACGACAGTCTGTGAAACAGTGCAAATATGTCACATGTCCACCTGTGTCTCTGTATTTGAGAGATACAGAGCCGAATACCAAAAAGGATTTTTCAAGAAAGGGTTAAACTACAAATGAATCATGACTCAACCCCACTAATCATGAAGTCACATTTATTCTCTCCTGACAACAATGATAGAAATCTCTAGTTTGAGAGAAAGTACATCTGCGCTCCGTTGTCTGTTCTCAAGGCTGCTAGTGGTGGTGAGCCGTAGCTATTATCACTAAATACAAAAGGACCGAGGACATTGGACTAGGTCTTTGTTTCATTTGTTTATGTTTTTCTGAGCACTTCACAGGACAACATTTGAAAAAGCAGGGTGTCTGTTAATACCCAATGTTTTACAATATTCCCAAATGCCGCAATTAATATAATGAACACATCCTAATGTACCATCGCTATCAGACTCTGAGGTTCTGCTCAATAATCGGCCATTGCAGAAAATGTGGAGTCTTCTGTCAAAATAGTATGGTGGACTATATTTTATTACCGCTTTTTTACGCCTGACATTACCGATTTCGGGGTTCTGTCCCATTATCCCTTATTTTCATGCTTGTTCCCTTGTGTCCCACTTTTGGGAACACCAGGGAACTGATGTCAGAAAGTATAGGGCAAGCTCATCATAAAAAATGCATTAGCATCACGCTAAGGGTTCTATAAACGAACTCTCGGCATGATCTGCCCTTAGGGGCCAGCATGACTTGGCTGTTAGGTTGGCATGCATTCAAGCCAAACTGACATGCCCCATCTTTGGGCAGCTCCCACTCTAATTTTGGGAAGGCTCTCCCCTTTGGGCAGTGCCAGTAAACTAAATTGCATCCCTGATCCCACGCATTTTAGGTCCACCTACCTCTGTTATAATTTACATATCGCCCTATGTTTGGAGGTTTATTAGCCAATGAACCACTAGTTCTTTTTCCTGCAAGAAACAAAGGCCACGTTCACAAATATTTCAAGACAAGGTCTAAGCAAACGGGCCAAATAAGATCATTTTAATTACTGAGATATCTGTAAACTAGTGAAATGTTCATAGCATAATTTAAATGCAAAAATGTAGCAAACAAATTGCATCTAGTGAGCATTTGGCATAAAGGAACACCTTAGGGGCGATGTTTATCTAACCTAACTGGCTGGAAATATATGTTAAATATATGATTTGAAGCCCAAGTCCATAAGATATTAAAACTGGGGAAAGGGACACAGGACCATGGCGCCACTGAGTTGTATTTTCAATGTGGCTTAAAGTGCCCCGTTAAAGAAGACATGAAAATCTGTTTGCAAAGTGCATCATGGGTAACAAGATATTGGATGCCATTTCGGCAATGGAGGGTTAAGTTGAGGAATGCACTGTTATCATTGCTCCAGGAACTTCTCGACATATTAAAAAATTTACCCATGTGTTATGTACACCATTATATTGCCAGCTGCTGTGATGGTTAATTGTCCAACTGCTTCTCAGCAGTTGAATAAAAGTCAGATACTTTAACAATCTCCGAGATTCTATTAATTACAGTGAGTGGGAATATTCTAAAGCAACGTATTCTAAAGTACATTTACGCTATCCAATCAAATTGAACCTATTGAAATGTTCATAAAAAAAACAAAACAACAGAACGACAAAACAAAATCCATTATTAGAACTCTAATAACTTAATGTCTATATGCCTATTGTGTACAGGAATAATAGCAATGACTCACTCTTACTAGTAACCTTGAGAATTGGCATCGGAGTGGAGATGCACAGTGTGAATGGGAATGAAATTGTCTCTGATACTAGATCTTTATTACATTGCTGTCAGAAAAGATTATACGTGACTGACATCGGATATGGGTAAGTTATCACATGGGGTGGGACAGAGCCGTATGTTTCAGCTTTGAGGTTTCAATTGCTATAGCGGCACAAATTGGTTATTAACTATGTGTTTATCCCACATTCTGTTTCTGAAAGAGAAACCTTAAAGAATGGATGCAACGGATTACGTTCCACGAGCATTTGGTCTATTTCTGAAACACACAAATAGATGATAGCTGATAGTCTGGGTAGTCCGATAGTAGAACCCCCATTAGTTATCCACGTGGTTCGCCTGAGTATTGGCTATGCAAAAATATTTAGGAAAATGATTCCGATGAATTAAACTGGAATAAAAACAACTTTGTTTTCCTGGCACTATAATTTCCTTTTAATTATATTTTCATAATATATACTCTTGTTATCATTCTCTCTATTTGAAGGCAAACAATTAATAGGAGGATTAAGAAGAAAAAGTTTCACTGTGCTTTTTTTCTATAAATAATAGCATGTTTTTTTAATTGTAAACAGTAAAATAGAGCAAACAGATGTTAAACATCACATAGTAAAGAAAAAAAAACCAAGAATTTCTTTTCTAGCCCCTGAAATGGTCTCAGTAACTGCCTCTAGTGGACATTGTGGGTCATTACACCTTGTTCTTGCTCCCTGCTCCTCCTGTCTCACACCTGCAGTGCTAAAGCTGTATGTGTTTGTTTCATTCACTATTTGGTAAAATAATGAGACATAGCAGGAGCGAGAAAAGACTGACGGCAATGACCACCAATCCCCTACCTTGTAGCTCAATAACTAGTAACAAGATGCTGAGTATAACAAAATCTCATTTAAATTCTCTATGAAGGAAAAACATTTTATACAAAAAAACACCCTAAAATAAAAACCAGGGTTGCATTCTATATTATTATGAAATAAATCAAAATATAAATATGTTGGATTACCTAATGCTTAGTAAACTAAGATTTAAAACATTTTATTTTATTTTTTAATTTGAGTTTTATTGGATAATGCATCAAGTTGAGTCATTCAGTGTTCAGTAAAACAAATGAGTAACAGATCTGTTGTGTATCTAACAGTAAATGTTTTCACACGGTTTTATACAAGCAGCCTCTATGCAATGATAATCGTCCTTTGTGAAGTAAACAATATTTTTTTGTAGTGTAACAAAAAGATTATTAGATCACACTTCATAAACCTGAAGTCAAACTCAGGCAAGCTAACCAAAACTAACAGACGCAAGTAATATTGATTTGGTCTGATTTCTGAGGCCCTACAAGAACTTTGTTTTTCAGAATCTCACTGTTATTAATTTAAAGGAACACTATAGTGTCACAAATACAAACGTGTATTCCTAACACTACAGTTCTAAAAACACTGTTTAGGTGTACAGTCCCTTGTCCCTTGTTAAAAAAAAGTGATTTTACTCACCTTATTTCCAGCGCGGTGCCCGTCTTTTTGCAGATGGCTCCACCTGCTCCGCATTCTTGGCTGAGATCATGAGATCGGACAATCTCAGCCAATCCAATGCTTTCCCAAGAGAAAGCATTCAGAGGCTATTGCATATGTGTGGCAAAACGCGGAGTGATTGCCACTATAATTGTTCCTAGACAGCAATGACTAGGAAAAGGTATTGTTTACATTAAAACCTGCAGGGACAGGCTATATACACCAGAACAACTACATTAAGCTGTAGTTGTTCTGGTGACTATAGTTTCCCTTTAAAGTGGGGTGGGCCACCTTCAGCACCCGAGATTTTGTGGACTATCTCCCATAATGCTCTCTTAACCATACTACTGACAAAGCATCATGGTAGATGTAGTCCACAACATATGAAGTGCCAAAGGTTGCCTACCCCTGAATTTAAAGTGGTAATATATATGCAAGAAACATACTTGAAAATGAGAGAAATCTCAATGTATCCATCCTGGTAAAATATTTGATAAATAAATAAATAATGTTTTGGTGTAAAATAACCATAATGAAAATGTGTTCATTCACACGGACATTATGTTCATTCATCCTGAAACTGTAGCAGAAATCAAACGTTTTTTTATCTACACACAGACATTAAATGGCTTGTATTCTGGCACAGCAGGGAGCCTTTTTATAAATAAAAAAAACCCAACAACAATAATAATCTGTATGTAGCTACACGCTGTCCATACTGGATTCATCTTATCGGAAGATTGCACAGTGCCCCCAGAATTCCCCATCTTCCTGAACCAGACCTTGCAGGGCACGGGTCACTCTATATCTGATATCCACAGGTAATTAGGGGTTAATCTACACACCTGCAGTCTGCCCTTTCCTTCCATTACCACTGTGCTAAGAGGGACTTCACTCACCACTCAAGTACTCACATGGTTAATAATCCTGTGGTTTGTGTGTTACAGTGTGTCTTTAATATTCCAAACATGAAAAAATAAACAGTGCCATTCCAAGCACTTTCAAAACCAGACAAAGGAATTCTACTACGGAAAATAATTGTAACAAAGGCAATAAGTGTTATTAGAGCTGTATTAGGATGCTAAGTAGATCCAGTGATTTTATATTAAACTAACTAAATATCATGATCTCATAGATACACTGGGGATGTTAAGAGCATGTTTAATTCACTGGTAATCATGCAGGTTTAGGTAGCACTGTTATCCCTTGGACCATAGTTTTGGTAGCTGTAATTGCATGTGTTCCCAGAGGGGGCGCTGGTTAGCTTCTCCTGGACAGCCAGTCTGTAAGTGTGTTTGAATGAGCTGCTTGCTTTGCAGAGTGAGGTCTGGCTGCACAGAATGCACAGGATGAAAAGCTAGGAGAGAGAGATTTGGAACTTTGAGATCCCCAGGTGCTTGTAGAAATGTAGCACATCCATCAAGGTTCTGGGCATGAAGTTCTCCCCTTGGTGGGTGTAGCAGGGTGTTACTGCCCTCTTGGAAAGGACCATGCCAGCAGATATCCCCATCCTGAACAGCTCCTCAGTAGGAGCCCAGCTTGGAAATAAGTGTCTGGCAGGCAGCCCTGGAGAGGAGCAGTTTCAGCACTATGGACAGTTCTCCCCCACTGTCTCCATCCTCCTGGCAGTCACCATGGCTCTCATGGTCCTGGCCACAGTCCTGGGAAATGCCTTGGTGATCTTGGCTTTTATAGTTGACAAGGGACTCCGCACCCAGGGCAATTTCTTCTTCCTCAACTTGGCTATTGCAGACTTCCTAGTGGGTAAGTAAGACTTGGATCTGGTAAAGTAGCACCGTCCCTCTTTTCTAACAAGAAATGATGTCCTGCTAGTTTGTGACACACAGCACTGTAGACATGACTTGAGGTTGCAGATTTGAGACAATATTGTTTTAATAAATGACTGCTTTTGCAATATACTTATAAGTACATTTAGAGCAGGGGTGAGCACAATGTAGGTCCCTGGGTATAAAATTACATCTCCAATCATGCAGTGCGAATCTTACAGCTGGCAAAGCATCATGGGGGTTGTAGTTTGGAAACATCTGAGGATCTACCTTTTAGTCACCCCTGTCCCATCACAAGGTTCAGGACAATACTCTGTACAGTGCTGCATTTAAGAAATTGTTAATGGGGGTAACCAGCTTGCCATAGTGCCTCGCAGCAGCCTATAAATATATTCTTTTATGCCTGAGTTATGTTTGTGCTACAGCTATTCATGTTTATTTTAACTTTTTACATCACACAGGTGGATTTTGCATCCCATTGTATATCCCTTATGTCCTGACCGGCCAGTGGAAGTTTGGAAAAGGCTTATGCAAGTTGTGGCTAGTGATGGACTATCTCTTGTGCACAGCATCTGTGTTCAACATTGTCCTGATCAGTTATGATAGGTTTATCTCAGTCACCAAAGCGGTAAGAATTATTGCATGGAATCCCCCTGGCTAAATACTGGCTACATTGTATTGTTACATATACTTTAGAGGTCATAATCTAGACATCAATCTGTTGCAGGACTACAATCCCCACAATCCCTTTTAACCACACCCTGGCAAAGCATCAAAGCAAGGAATTTTAAAAAAAAACAAAAAACAGATGGGGTCTATGCCTCATTTTGGCAGTGGGGGAGATTTATCAGAGAGTCTCCTTCAGAAAGTGGAATGTGCCAGCTAGTTCCACTGGTTTCCTTGGTGATAGCACCACTTTTAGGACTTTGCATGTTTGATAAATCTCCCCATGGTCTCATCATTCGAGACAAGAATACTAAAACGAGTCAGCTCATATCTTTTCTGATAAGCCCATTCATTAATTGATGTTAAAATATCTCATGCCCCCTATTGCATTTTAAGCATATTAACATCAAATTAAATATCATACTTAATTACATTTATTCATGAGATCCTTTAGGTCAACACCAAATTAATTATTGATTCAGACCACACAATATGCTTAGGCTCAATAATTCCCATTGTTTCTACACTTCCCGGGTAATATCATTACAAGGAATTTTATTAATTCATGAAATTGATACAATGATTGTTCTACTGATTAAACATTATTGCATTTAGGAAAATGATCTCATCTCTTAAATAGTTTGAATTTATGTTAAATTGTATGTTTGTTGCCATATAGCGAGTTTATTTACTGTACCTGTATTAACATAAAACGACAGAGTGATATGTATTCAGCATTCATGCCTAATTGATTTATATTTGGGGATTTAATATATTCATCAGTTATACAGAGTTCAAGAATATTTGGTGGTTTTAACATGTGTGAATTAGAATGAAATCGTGGCACAGCAGAATTCAGCAGTAACCAATCTAGATAGCAAGGGTGGAACACTTTCAAATATAATGTATGTTATTACCTGGATGTATCTAAAAAGAGAAATATATATATAAAAAAAAAACATAAGTATCAGGAGCTGTCACATGTTTTCTAAATGAAGTACAAAATTATAAACTTGCGCATTCGGTTTTAAATGAATCGTGATGCGTCCCAACTTTGGACGATCAGTGATTTATCCGATTCCATAACTCCGAAGCCCTCCATGGCAGTATTAACGAAACAGGCAATGGACTAGCCATTTCATTTGTTTTGTGATTCAGATTTTCGTCCGTGGTGCGAGGAAAAAGGGGAGGGAATTTAGAAGAGGCTAATTTTTCCAGGGGGCAAATAAGCAGCTTAAATTTTGCCATGATGGACAAGAGGATGGCCCAGTGGTGTGGGCTGTACCTCCTGTCGAAATCAAGAAGTGGGAAGAAAGATGATTGACTGATAAAAGATATTGGCTAAGGAAGAGCCAATAAATTTACAGATCAGTTAATAAAGGACCAATCGAGGGATAAAGGGAGGAGCAATCGAAAAAAAATTTATTTTTCCAAGCAGAATTTTAACAGACACTTTCACTTCAGCTATTAAGAGAGACAGACCAGCGGTGACTGTGTGTTTTTTTCCATTGCTGTGTCTGTGTGGGAGTAGTATGTGTCTGTGCCAGTGATCGTAGTGTGAGACTGGTGAGGTGGTTAGGTTATTATTCTGTCTAGCTATCACCAGTGCCACTTATACTGATTTTCATTCACTGATTTAGAATTATTACACTGATTTGTGATTCTTTTTTTAACCTTCTCCTGCCTTTTTTCCCCCCAAAATTAAAATGACTTCTGCTTTCATTAATTTACATGATTGTAAAAGGAAAAGCAATCATTATAAAACTCTCATTTTATTTTATTTTTAATACAGATATAATAATATAATTATGATAACTCACAATTGGCATTGCCAAAAATGCCCGATATTGTATAGCCATTAGACTAGGCAATATTTTAGTAATTTTTGCATTGCAGTACATTGTTTGTGCCATTCTGGTTTGTCCAAATCGTTTTTCCCAAAACAATCGCATGGAGGAATTTCATCGGAACTGAAAGGTCAAATGACTAAAACTGGGTTTCTCCGAGCCCCCCAAAAGTTTTTGGACAAATAAAGGCAAACCCATTTTTTCCCCATGCAGCAGTCAAGATAATTACTTGATTGGAATGCTCAAAGAGAGACGTTTCAAAAACCTTTTGCACCTTGAATGCAATTAAATAATAATGATACACAAATATTATGCATGCATCCTACCTCTCTTTCTATGTCAAAATAAAAGTGGCCTAATACAATCAGTAAATAGAATCCCTGTGTGATGTAAGCAGTAATCAGTCGAAAAGACCATTAAAATGATCTATTCAAGCCATATACATTTTTTTTAAAAAGCACAGATTGTTTAGCATCACATTGATAAATCTCACCGTAGTGTTGGTCCTGAAAGTGGAAAATGGAAAATCTACAAAGACATATTTACTGATTATGGGAACCCTGGTGAGTGTGCAGTTTATACAAAGTTGTATTCCTTACACTATAGTTCCCTCTGCCCCCCCTCAAATCCTTCCCAGCACAGAAAGAGTAAAAAAAAAAAAACCTTTTAACATCTACAAGATTCTAGCGCTGATCTCTCTCAGTGCTGGGTCGGCAACCAACCTTCTCCGATGTCATCTGAAGGGGGGCCTAATGCGTGGCAAGCACCCTGAGCATATTAGGCCCTCCCCATAGGAAAGCATTGCTTCAATTCTTTCCTATGGAGATGTCTCTTGACGCTTGATTCCTCATGCAGAGCGTGAGGACGTCCAGCATCAGTAAGCCAACCAAAAGTCGCTTAAAGGACCACTCTAGGCACCCAGACCACTTCAGCTTAATGTCTGTCTCATTGACAGCCGCTAGAGGCGCTTGCGTGATTCTCACTGTGAAAATCACAGTGAGAGCACGCAAGCATCCATAGGAAAGCATTGATAATGCTTTCCTATGTGACCGGCTGAATGCGCGCACAGCTCTTGCTGCGCGTGAGCATTCAGCCGCATGGGAGGAGAAGAGGAGGATCGGAGGAGGAGAGCTCCCCGCCCAGCGCTGGAAAAGGTAAGATTTAATCCCTCTCCCCTTTCCAGAGCCGGGTGGGAGTATGTTTTCCTGGCACTATAGTGGTCCTTTAACCACCAGGAAGTGATTTGCATTGCAGGACTAAGGGGGACAGAACATATAGGAAATAACAGGGACTGCACTCAACCAAAAAACACCAACAGGGTGTTAAGCTGAGCCAGGCCCCGCACTCCCCACATGCATAGTATGAAAAAGAAAAAATGCTCAGGCACTCCCTGTGTTGAAGTAGGATTTTATTGGAACATTAAGTGTACAGCAACGTTTCGACCGACACTCAGGTCTTTGTCAAGCTTGCTCGAATCGTTGCTGTGCACTTGTTGTTCCATTAAAATCCTGGTGATACCTCAACACAGTGAATGCCTGAGAACCTTTTCTTTTTTTTTTCTTTTTCTTACTAAGGGGAACAGAAAGACTGCACCCAGACCACTTCCCCCATAAATCAGCAAAATGTGTGTCTAAAATTAATATGATACAGTCTTACCTGTCGATGAATTTTCAAAGACTGGTATCTGAACCTTAATAAAACATTAAATACCCTTTTAATAAAACATTAAACACCCATTTAATAAAACATTGAACACCCATTTTCTATTCTGTAATTTATTTCTTGAATTGTAAGTCTGTATCTATGGTTTATTAATAGAATGTCAAAGGAACACTCCAGACCCCTAAAGCACTTTAGCTGAAAAGCTTGATGTGTAGAGAATGTGCTCTATTTTTTTCATTCTGCCAAAAGTGCAGATTTCAATAGCACTTTTATAAATTAACCTGGTTACCACCCCCTGGCTTTCAAGCAGACAACCAGTTCTGATACTTCCTGGTTTGTTTAGCTTAGTGGAGCCAAACTCAAGTGGCAGCAATTGCCCAGAGCACCTGCTTTGCAAAGACTTCTCATTGAGCTGCAGTGGGACATCTGTGATTGGACAGCCACAGAAAGTCTGAGCGAGGTTAAAAGAGGAGGGCTTGCAAAGGCTGCAGACAAGAGGAATGCAGGTTTTGCAAGCTGATTCTATACCCCCCAATGGAAACATACAAAGTTAAATGTATGCAGGTTTGGGGTATATATACTAAATAGTGATTTGTATTTTGTATTTGGGTAGTAGAGTGTCCCTTTAATCCTCTAGCTGTGAGTGAGACAGACTTTAAATAGATAAAAGATTCAGCTGATCCAATCAAACTGTAATCTAGGAGCCCCTATTGGGTGTGGCAGGTCCTTAACTCATCCAATAAGGAGTCATTGCATTCTAATACTGCATACAAAGACTTGATACATCGCATGATTGCATTCTCTACCAATGCCTGTAAATTGCTCAAAGTCATGGCTGTGCTAAATCTCTGCTCCCCAGAGATTGTAGAACTACAACTACCAAAATGCTTTGCCAGTTTTTCGAATGGCAAAAGATCATGGAAGTTGCAGTTCTCCAAGTTCTGGAGCTCTCCATTTGACTCTCCACTGGTTACAGTTCTGATTATGATGCTCAATAATTTACCAGGTTTAATGCACCAGTAATGGGAGGAGATTGCACACCCTGAACAACATCACTCTTTAGAAACAGAGAAGCGGTCTTCTGCTAAAAAAGATACTATCATGTAAATGTCCCTGTCATCGAAGGATTGTCCCCACACTAATACACACTAATACACAACTAGCTTAACCTATAAAAAATGTTTTATGTCTCTCTGTCTGTCTGACTCCTGGCCATCAATATTTCTGTTTAACATAGAAACATAGAACTATGCAGATAAGAACCATTCGGCCCATCTAGTCTGCCCAATTTTCTAAATACTTTCATTAGTCCCTGGCCTTATGTTATAGTTAGGATAGCCTTATGCCTATCACACGCATGCTTAAACTCCTTTACTGTGTTAACCTCTACCACTTCAGCAGGAAGGCTATTCCATGCATCCACTACCCTCTCAGTAAAGTAATACTTCCTGATATTATTTTTAAACCTTTGTCCCTCTAATTTAAGACTATGTCCTCTTGTTGTGGTAGTTTTTCTTCTTTTAAAGATAGTCTCCTCCGTTACTGTGTTGATTCCCTTTATATATTTAAATGTTTCTATCATATCCCCCCTGTCTCGTCTTTCCTCCAAGCTATACATGTTCCTTTAACCTTTCCTTGTAAAAGTTATCCTGCTATCCATGAACCAGTTTAGTAGCCATTCTCTGAACTCTGAAAGCTACATATGCACGAGCAATCTATTTAACATTGAGAGTTACCTGTATCCCATCAGAGGCAAAAAAAATTCACCAAAAAGCAAATTAAGTATTTTTTGTTTCCATTACTTTGAATGGATTAGTAAACCCATATCATCCTGATTTGTAAACAATCAGCATACGTTACTCTATAAGGCAATCAAAGGGTTATTGACCAAACAGAATATATTGTCCTAGTCTCTTTCTGTGATTCAACGAAGAGACACTCTGTAGAGTTAATAAGATAAAGATTAAAGTGGCCACACCACATAATAAGTGACAGGTCCATTTGATTGTATCTATGGAAGGTGTTTAGAAGACAGTTTTCCTCAATTCCAAGAGGTGTTTTGAAATACTATGTTTGTCTCATATTATTAAACAAGGGATATTATGAAAAGGCAAACAAAATGTCAATTTACGTCAGTGATGGGGGCTAAATAGTATAATTTCTTTAAAATTGTACTGAATTTAACATTGTGAAATGAAAAGATTACTGTCATCCAGACAAGGCATTCTTGTCAGAACAGGTATTAAAAGGCTGTGGCTTCCAACAATCTCAATCTGCTCATGTCTAATGATTTAGTCCAGGGTTCTCCAAAACCTGCCCTATAGATGTTGATGAACCACCGCTCCCATGATTCTCTGGCCATCTATTTCATTCAAAGAATCATGGGAGTTGTAGTTCAGCAATATCTGGAGGGACAGAATCTGGAGAATCCTGAATTAGTCCAACAACAGCTTCACGACCAAGGTCAAACATGCCCGGTCTTTAAAATGTATTAATGAGCACCATATGTCAACATCATGGAATTTTTCTGTTTACAGTCTTTGGATGGACTTCATCCAAAAAGCTGAACATCCAAGGTGATAATCACCTCCTGACATTATAATTACCCAGTGTGATTGCTCTATTTATACCAAGCACTGGCTATTAGATTCAATAGAAAAAAACTAAACACCTTCAATTAAAGAAAAGTATCCGGGAGAGATATTTAAATTGAGCTATTTACAACATTAGAAACGTTGGCCGCGTAAACCTGCCTAATACATTAAGAAGGAAAACGCAACAAAACCTTTCTTTAATTGTAAGACCTTCAGTGTAGAAAGCTACGGTTTAACGTTCGAAGTCTATATTTAAGAAAATTATAGCATTAGAAGTATAAAAGCCATTAAGTGTTTGGTAAGGGCGTCCTCAGCTCCATAAAGACATTTTAGCAGCAGGTATCTGGTTCATTTCTTAGTAAATGTTCTGTGTTGCTTGGAAATAAAAGAATTTAAAAAAGAAATGATAGTTTTTAGTACAATAATTCTTGCGTTCTAGGTAAGGTTTGAGAATATTGTCAAATTAATGATAATTTGTTTTTTGTTTTTTCTTTGTTTTTTTTGGAACAACATAGGTGTCTTACAGAGCTCAAAAGGGAATGACAAGAAACGCAGTCTTAAAAATGATGGTGGTGTGGGTTTCAGCATTCATTTTGTATGGCCCGGCCATTATAAGTTGGGAATACATTGCAAGAGCAACTATATTACCAGAAGGTGAATGTTATGTGGAATTTTATTACAACTGGTATTTCTTAATGATAGCCTCAACGGTGGAGTTCTTTACACCCTTCATCAGTGTGACTTATTTTAATTTGAGCATTTACATCAACATCAAGAAGAGAACCATGATGAGAAACGAGGAGCTTGCTCAAGGCCAAGAACATTGCGAGATGAGTTTCCAAGGGAAGAAAAAAGAGCACCTAATATTTTTTGTGAAACCGGCAGACCGGCCACGCTGTGACGCCAAAAAGCAGGCCTCCTGCCTTTCCCCCACAAGACCTTCTGCCTCTGCTCATGGTGCACCAAAGCTTGAAGGTCACATGTTGGACCTGAATTTAAGTCAAGATCTTCCGCCATTACAAGTTGAAGTCCAAACCAAAAGACCTCAAGACTGCTTTTACAAAACCGTAGAAAATGCTTGCAGCAATATCAGACAAGATATGGCTAGTAGCATTGCCAATCGATTTAGGCTATCGAGAGACAAAAGAGTAGCCAAGTCTCTGGCTATCATTGTTTGTGTGTTTGGGCTATGCTGGGCACCATACACGCTACTGATGATCATCAGGGCGGCCTGCCATGGCCGATGTGTCCAGCATTATCTCTATGAGATTTCCTTCTGGCTTCTGTGGTTAAATTCAGCCATCAACCCCGTGCTGTATCCTCTTTGCCATATGAGTTTCAGGAAAGCTTTCATGAAGCTTCTTTGTCCAGGAAAAGCAAAAATACACCCAAATATTTTTATGTGACAAACAATGACAAACAAACGAAGGAAAAACTGAAAAAACAATAAACAAACAAACAATCGACCAGACAAAAAAAAAAGGGCTATCAGCCAGAAAGTTAGATACCGTCTGAAACTGACAAAACATATTTGCTGGAATTTTCCTTATACACTAAATAAATAATTTACAGTTTAATTAATTCAGTGCTAGAATAAAACAGCAGGAAACGGTATGTTGTACAGAGCAAGCTACAGGAAAAAGACGTGCAAAATCCCAGGTGCCGTGTTCTCAAAAGGACTGACATGATAATTGTAATCTCATCATTGCTGGATTTGCCTGTTGGCATTTATCGATAAGACAATAATGCACTGGGGGGGTGAGACTGGCCACATCTTCTTACCAAAGGGAAAGGGCTTTGCTTTTGTATATTTTAGCTGATCATACTATTGGGTTGCAACGTGACTGTATCTTCATGTATGCTTAGCGTGTGCACAGGATGAAATAAATATTGTACACAATTTATGTTGAACATATAAGTGTCGTAGTGATTACAATAGCAGTTAGTGTTGATTACTAACTTGATGACCTCATTCAATATGTGGAGTAACATGATGTCGTACATATCAGCAACATGCATGTGTGTGTACATCGAAATGATAACGATCTTAGGTATACTTTTCTCGGGTAATTCTTGAATGGCATAGCTGACGTAGCCTTATCTCGAGCTGGTGAACACTCCCAAATACACAGTCCCCGTATTATGTTACCACCAGTAGAGGCTGGTCCATAGAGGCGGATGATGCATCTATACCTACTTTTTAGGCAAAAAAATATTGAATCTTTATGCATTGTAAGGACTAATGATAAGTGTGTGTTAGAAAATAACATGTTTGTCTGACATGATAATATCTGCAATTTTTCTTCTCCTCCTATTACTCATGACTTAAAGGCTGAGAAACTGATCATGTCAAAACATTAAACGCCCATTATTAGTATTTATTACATCAGCAATTGGCTTTGCATGAGACGTCAAATCCTAAATGTCCTACAAGAATTCATACTTTACTAAATATACCTGTTTGTATCACATCTTGAAAGTGGTGCTGGTCTTATTGAATTGTGGAAAGTTACGATGAGAGATCAAATTATATTTATCTGTAAAATGTACCTTTAAAACAGCAGAGCCATTTAAAAATATTAGCATAGCTCCACTTTCACGGTCCATTAATTACTCTAAAAAGAAATGCAGGTTACAGCTCTGGTTTAATTACAGCATTAGCGGTAATTTGCAAGCTCAAAGTTAGCTCAGTCAAGTCATTATAGATGAGAGCTTTACTTTTATCACAGCAGACTGACCCCCCTCTCCACCGCACCAACAGGAAAGGCAAGAGGGAGAAGCCAAACAGATCCATTACAAAAGAAATGTCAAATTAAGACATCTTTTTCAGATAGGTACAGCTAGGCACAGTAAGAAAGAATAAAATGGAATAAAAGGGAATCATGACATGTCACACATGTCATGTGTCCTTAAGGGGTTAATGAACTACATCTTCTGAAAAGGAAGACTGTCAGATCCCAAGCCCTTCTCCACCATTTAGTAGACCCTCATTTTGGAGCCCCGCTTGACCTGACTGAAGGTCTAATCTGTCCTTTGTAAGATTTGACTCTATGGGTTTCGGCCCATCTAGTCTGCCCAATTTTCTAAATACTTTCATTAGTCCCTAGCCTTATCTTATAGTTATGCCTATCCCACGCATGCTTAAACTCCTTTACTGTGTTAACCTCTAACACTTCAGCTGGAAGGCTATTCCATGCGTCCACTACCCTCTCAGTAAAGTAATAATGCTGTGCCTGGCACGGCATATACAGTAAAAAAAAAAAACAAAGGAGAAACTAGGGAGATTTTTCTAAAAAAGTTTAGTATAAACAATATATATCATAAACAGCAAGTTTTGCACAGATGGTTCTTTGAGTACAGACAGGATACTACTAACCAACACCACTTCATTTACACACAGACAAGTCAAATAAATATATACCTAGATTGAATTCATAAATATGTATACTATCAACAAATACACCTTCATATGTACAGACACTTCACACACAGACACCAACGCATTCAAGTACACAGATTTTACACACAAATCCAACTCTGTGTTAACGCTATAAAAATATACCCATGTATTCACACACAGCTTTTGCAAACTATTTTGAGATATACCCCAAATGTGTACAAACATTAAAATTGCATGCATGTATTTATTGTGTATCTCTACTATAGGGGGATATAAAAAAAAAACAATGAATTCGGACTGTGGCTTGTTTCTATAGTTCCACCTATTGCAAAGATTGCCAAAGATCACGCTCCCCATAAAATAAAAAGTAGGCCCCAATTTTTTTCTATGTAACTAAAAAAAACTATGGTAAATTTAAAAAAAAATGTAAAAAAAAAATAATGTAAACACAAAACTTGCAAAACAGTTAACTGAGACATTTATCCAGTAGTTACTGTAATTTCTGTATTGGTGACTATTTCATTATAGCACTTAAGTTGTGCTCATCATATAAGAAGTATCAATAATTAAAAAATAATATATATGTTGAAAATGGTAAATATGCCAATATATTGCTGCAATCTGGCTTGTTTTTCTCACGAGCCTTTACAAGGTAAAATAGCACCAAGGACTCTGCTATTGTGAATGGCACCCCAAAATCCCAAACTTACTGCTATGCAATATACCATTCTCAAATTATATTCCTTATCCTTATAAAGTAGCATAAAATGCACTCATCTGCAGTGGTTTATCGAGTTCCAACATGAACACGCTTAATAAGTAGAAAAACTATGGTGAGCTGCGTCCTGTTTCAAAATGTCATGCGAATAAATGTGCTGTGATATATGTTTATATTAAGTGAGACGAAGCTTTCCATGGTAACACGGGGCTGTGAGAAAAGTCATGTGACAGTAATGTATAATTTCGTGCTGTAAATGTCATTCGAGGTGTGCTATAGCGATGACCAGACATAATAAATGTGCTGATCATTTCACAGAGTTGGTTAGTGATGTGGAAAAATCCATTTAATTATAAAAACTGTTGGTGCGGAAATTCTTTTTGTTATTCGAGGAGCTAAAAAGATAACAACAAAGATATGACACATTCCTAGCTTCCCCGTGTTACAGAAAATGAAAGGTTTGAGAGGCTATATAAAATGATAATTACATGAAGATGCGAGTCAAACTTCATTACTAAGATAGGCTTCAAACCTTTCAGTCCCTAAGGCTTGAGATCCCAGTTTTCCAAACATTTCTCATCTCTATTGATAAAATATAATAAGCTAACAGAAACATGCCTAGTCTTAAAAAAAATGGCTCTTCTCCTTTGGCATGACCTTCATGCATCCAATTTTAAGAATGTTGGCCAAAGGCTAAAAGAAACAAATTTAATCACAGTCGGTCAACTTCTAACTGCAAGAATGAGAGTCTAACTACCATACATACAGTCAGAAAGATCGGTTAACTAACCCCGTCAAGCAGATAAAATAACATTTCGTCACATTATTTTTTTTTAATTAAAAATATATGTGTGACAACTTGGTATTACACACACATATCACACACAGAACAAAAGCTGTGCCTTTGACGCATTTGTAATATATTATTCGTATTGCAAACTCCTCGGGGAATGGAGATAACAGCTCAGAAATTTTCTCTCTTGTGTTTCTCTTCTAATCTTTTACTCTTTTCTTTTTTGTTTGTTTTAGCAATTTTGTTTATTTTTATTGTTTTCGTTCGTGTTCTATGCATGTATGTGTGGGCTAGTTATTTTTTTTTTTTATTATCATTTAAAACTGCTAAAAAAAAATCTTTTAAATTGAAAATTAAATAAATAATTGTTTCCCGTGACCCAGACTTCATATACCATGGACTTGTTCAATGTGAATTGGTGTCATCCAGACCAGGAAGTGTCAGATGTCAGACTTCCCTCCCTTCCTCAGACAGCCGGAGCTGCCTTCATGCTCAGTAATTGCGGACGGGTTGCCCCATTAGGTTAGAGAGATGGAATAAAACATATTCACACCTGCCGCCTTACAAATGAACATGACAGTTTCCTAACCTTAGACCGGTGCCAAGACCAACTATATTCTTTTCCCAAGAATTAATGGAACTAAATGGCTTGACGTTTTTCTTTTTCTCTGTCAACATAAATGTTTACGAAAACAAAAAGCAATAAGAATAAGACAAAGTCAATTCTGGAAAAAGACTAGCATATAGTATCAAAATATTAAGGAATAGCTGATGTACATAATACAAAGATTTAATATTATAAGATCAGAAAAAGCAAAACCGATTTCCATTCAGAGTAGCTCACTCCTTGGTATTGACCAAGGAATTATATATATTTAGACCAAAGTAGCCAATTTTGATACATCTGTATCTAAACAAGAGTTCCAGGCTGTAAATCTTCATAAGCGTCCTTATATGGCGAGATTTTTAACTAAAAGGTCTGACATCATTATGGTCATAGCTACGTAGAATAGTGGGCAAAGGACCATGAGGCTGGTTGTCTGCCTGGTCTCTGACTATGTAGATTCTATCTCTCCATTCCTGAGTCCAGCAGTTACCATCTGCTGTTGAATATTCATCAACCGTAACATCCTTGGTTGTTTTAAAAGATATTAGTAATTGATAGCGGAATAAATCTAAAGAAAATATAAGTCTGATGCGTCCTGATATTTTGAACTGACACACGGAGGAATTATAATATTATTATTATTTTTAGTATTTATATAGCGCCGACATTTTACGCAGCGCTTTACAATATTTAAAAGAGGTAAATTTAACAATAAATGAGACAATTGATATTATCTATCAAGATAATGAAATGTGTATGTATGTCTTTGTACTCTGAAAATTAATAAAACTTAATAATAAAAAAAAAAAATGTTTAAATGAAACTATTACAAAATGTTACAGGAAAAATAGGTTTATGAGGATCCTGCTCAATCTAGCTTACAGTCTAGAGAACTGTATATATTAACATCGAGGCGAGCCACGCAACAAGAAGACAGAAGAGAAATATATATATATATATATATATATATATATATATATATAAGTCTTTTTCCTCCTACATGTGCATGTTCCTCCCTCCCCCTCCAAATCCACAAAAAAACAGGTTGTTCTTTGTTTTCTGGCTGTAAAACACATTTCGGAAACACAGAGCTGTATATTCTTACTGTGCGAGAAATACTCTACTGTGTTTTAATTGTGCTTCGAAATCCTGGAAAAACTTGTATTGTAAATGACAAAAACTTTAAGAAATTTTTTTAAAAACCACCAAGAATGCTTAGCATGCAGGGCCTATCTGCAATACACTGGCTTCTCTAGCCTTTATTAAATGGATCCTTTATGCTCTCCGTAAATTACTGTACCTTCGCATTACTCCACAGACTGCCATGCAAAGGGTCAGGTGCTTTTTGTCTAACCACGGGGCACTCAGTTTGTGACAATTACGCATAATGTACAAGAAATTGCTGGGAGAGATAAGTGAATCTAGTTGTCTACTGAAATTTTTTTTTTTAGTTATTTAAGCCTAAAGCACAGGCCTGTTTTTTATTTTCTTATCATAGTTAACATTGGTATTTGTGGATTTAATGAATGGAAATCAGGCAGAGTGCAGTCTAGGGCAAAAGCAGGAGACGTATCCTGGGTATTTAGTTGGGTATTAGAGGGGTGCAGTCGCTGGGATTGTACATAGTTAACTAAAAGATAGATATGGGTCAAGTAAATTGAATTTTAAAATTTATATAATATGCCTGTGAGTGCCAGCATAACCAGGGCATACTGTGTAAATGCACGTATTATCTATGCACGTGGAACTAAGTTGTTATGGCACATCTCAGCGGATGCTCTAGTGCGCAATTTGCGCTATCAGAGTGCACACATGGTTTATACTAAGCTCTGCTCTATTCCTAACCTCGAAACGCCTTTACCTGAATAAAGGAACAAGGAATTGTCATTTTTAGCTGTATTTAAAGGGACTGTAGTGGTTATGGTGCCAGGAGTCCCCATGCACAGTCTGATGATTATCTGTCAAACAATTAATGTACACCTTATGCTGTGCAGACACCCAGAGTCCCTACAGTCTGAATTGCTCCTATAAAGCAGAAATTCATACCAACATATCAGGACTGGACAGCAATCATTGGCTGAAGCCATCAACTGACTGTAACTATGCTGTAGTGGTTATGGTACTTAGACTGTCCCTATAAGTTATGTAGAAGTTATACATCTAATACAGATTCCATATAGTAGCATAAAATAGCAAAACTAAGTGTTATGTTTGTACACCGAGAGAGATCACATTTTGCAGTTGAGTAAGAATTGGAAGCAGTACGGTTTCAGGCTTTCAAGATTCCTTTGTGCACCAACCGTAATTTAATAGGAATTTCAGCAAATGAGCTTCTTGTCAAGGAAATCTAATATTATTACATAGAGGAATGGGATGTGATACAATTTTTATGGTTACTTTGCAGTGGCGTTTTGCTCCTCGTCAAACTATTGTTCTTGTAACAATTTGTAGTTGTCTCTTTTAATGTTAAATTCACCCATTGATAATAATGTAAAGCTCTGCGTAACAAGTTGGCGCTATATAATAGCAAATAATAATAATATCACGGTGTACGGCTTCCTTGAGTGAATGGAAAAACTCCTAATAAGGACGTTTGGCATCTAAGTCAGCATCAGTATCTCTGAAGCAACTTGCTGTGTTACTTATAAAATAACAGTATCTTGCTCCAGGCACTTGTATGGTATAGGAAATCATTCAGTGATTGCTTTACATCCTTTCTTGGGAATGTAGTAGACTTGTCATAGAAATAGCACAATCTATATGATATGGTAATTTATTTAAATAATATATTTTTCAAATACTGCTGATAGCACGAGAGACGGTCCAAGACACGAAAGATAAAAGAGAGAAGATCATTTGCCAACACATCCATTTGTCATGGCTATTTTATTAAACAAAAAAATACAGCTCTTGTCATTAAAAGAGTACACGTGATCAATTATGAACATATGATCAAATGAAACTGGAAGAGATAGTGTACGTTAAGGAAACATCTATACATCTATGACATCTTTGATGTGTGCAGCAATGGACTTCTGAAATGAATAAATAAATTCTGCAGTGAAAGATTGGGACATTTTATAGCAAGCTACGGATAATGAACATTGAGTGCTAGTACGGGAGACCAGCAATCCCCCAGCTATTGTTCCTTTGTCGTGTCTGTGAGTCTTTTCTGTGTTGTGTAAACTGCTCAATGTCAAAATAGCTTAATAAAGTTAATTAACGACAATGATTTTACAAAAGCTACTTAAAGCGGCATTGTCTCCCCGTGGCCTTTCCCCCTGCAAAAACTAAGAGTTTTTTACAGATAAAATCTTACAATCTTTATGAAATACTCATTTTGACTGTTTTGGAATTTCATTGAAGTATATTGATACAACATGGGGAAGTCCACCGTCTGACATTTCTAGACATAGGGTAGAGCTTCCGACGTCTTTAAATTTCAATCCCCCCAACTGTCAACAGTAATGGCTGAAGGGAATTGGCTCCATCTATGGAGCATCCCGTGGTCTTGCAGGATCCTCCATAGACCGCATGCGCAAGAGGGCCGCAGTGAGAACTCCGTGCATGCAAGGGACAGGTTCAGGGAAGTTGAACTTACCTTTACCAGCCCCCCCATTCACTGGTCACCTAGCAGCGATGTCACTGTCGAAGGTCTTTGCAAATTCAGATGGTGACAGTGTCACTTTAACACTTTTGTTTATACAGTTCCTGGAAATAAAAGCATTACTCAACTGTAGACCTTATGAGTGATTGTTTAAACTGAAATAAGTCATAGAGATTGAAACAAACAGATAGCTTTGTAAATACCTAGCTACAGGATTCTGTTATAAACGGGAATGGGATAGGTGAGATATATATTGAGTATGTGGTGTAGGTAACTAGTGCCATCAAGATTGGATTTCTCAACACCTACCCCGACTACAAATTTAAATTCTATTATTTTAGATATATTTTGTTATACTTTTTTCTTTTGCCAAATGGTTTGAAGTTTGAAACTCACTTTGAATTCTTTGAATGAGAGTGTTCTAGTCCTTAGTTCTATTGTGAATAGCAGAATGTATTTTTAGACAGGGTGGGCATTTGATTCCCAGTAGGTTGTATGCCGGGGCTTAGTCATGCATTATCTTTGAATTATGGTGGCTGCCATTGCCAAGGAAACCACAAGAAAAGTTACACTTTGTGCGAATTTGCATATTGTCACAGGGCATTCTGGGGATGCAGTGAGCATGTCATGACTTCATATTGGTGTCTTTAAATTATTTGTATTTTCTATTGGTTTGATACTGTATTTGTAGATAGCACAGAGGTGAGATTCATACTATCTGTATTGCATTGTTACCAGTGAATTAATAATGTCTATGGATTGTAGTCATTATCCGTCACAGACCAGCAATACTCTGCAGAACTGGAATTACGTACATCCTTGGCATCCTCCGACAGTCTGGCTGGGAATGGATCTGGTATTATTATCACAACGGCAGACTAATTTATCACTGTGACAAGAGAGCAAATTCCAGTTATACAGTATGTGTTATGCTTGTAGAAATGAAATTAAAAAAAATCACAGAAACTCACTTAGATCTAATGTAAAGGTAATTGTAAATCCATGTTTATTTAAAGTGGCAGACTTACACAATTTGGGGATATACTTCCTTTTTAAAATACATAGACCCTCACCAGCATTTCAAATTTAATTTCCTCCAGATGCACCTACTCATTGACTAGTTTATTTCTACCAGACGATGTCTCGGAGTTAAATAGATGGGCACGGCTAATCTATTAAATAATGCTACTGATGTCAAATAATTGTCAGGATTACTCAATGGCTGTGACAAGCAGAACTAAAGTCAAATGTCCACAATAAAGGGGAAAGGGCAGGACGGTAGCGTATTACCGGACCTTAGAATGGACGCGCTTAACTTGGTGAAACAAATCTGCAAAAAGAGAGCCGGACTAAGGTCACCCAGGGCCAGGTTGGAGCCCCCTCCTAGGGGACTGGGTTCTGTGCGTGTTGTGTGTGGTGGTTAAGTGTTGTAGGTGTGTGAGAGGCTGTATAGTGGCTTAGTGCTGTATGTTTAGAGGAGGTTTAGAACTATATATGAGTTAGACTGACTGTGACTCTGTGAGTGTGTGTAGTGTCTGGAGTGTGTTTGCTCCCCTCCTGGTGGGGGAGCACTGTGGTGCAGAACACAGTTTAAAAGCTCCATCTGTGGCGCTCGGAGTCACAGATCTTTACAACCCCTCATTTTTTTGATAACCCTGCCAGTTCAAGACAGGTCAGCTCACAAGCAGACGTGGAGCTCAAACCCCATTGAGCTCCTGTGTGAGCCCAGGCCCTAGGCGGCCGTCTAATGGATAATCTGGCTCTTAGAAAACTGGAAACTGAGGAACTAGGGATGAGAGGTTAAATAATTAAAACATTAAAGTTATTAGGCTAATATTTTATATATAACGCTTTTTACTATAAAGGGCTTAGTTTGTGCTTCTATATTTTTACCTATACCATGTTGCTACTGAGCAATGCTCATTCGTTTAACACAGTAAATATGATGGGATGAGCTGACCCGGCAGGTAACTAATCAATCCTGCTGTTTGACCTTTTGAAACAGTTGGCACATTAACCAAATGAGCTATTCCAGTTTAACCATGATAGCATTCAAAGTCATTCAGTATAGTTTTACAAATCTTAAGGCTGTGAGAGACCTGCATAGGAGGTCACAATTTAAATGGATTTAAATCGCACATACAGACAGTTGGATCAAGGTTCACAGTGAGGGTTGTGATTAACGGAGTTCATTTTGATGTTACAGTTTTAGATTTACATTACTGCCTGGAGAAATCTTTTTTCTGCAGTTAATTAGATGTAGTATTGCAAAGTTGCTGTGACATTTCCCAGCAACAGCTCAAAGTTTATCAATCATCACAAAGTTGCTTTGGGTGCTAAGATCTGCGAAGAAGTGATGTATTGAACTCTACGCCAGTGGCAGGGTAATAGAATGGTCAGGTATACGTAGAGTGAAGCATAGTATGTATGAGACCTCTGAAATAAACCTTAAAAGGATATCTTAGTGGTCGAAATGAACCTCCCTAATCTTAAGGCATTATTTTGATAATAGATATAAAAACATGCACAACATAATTTAAAGATTGAAAAAGATTATGCTTTAATTCAAAGGTTCTGCTGTATCTTCTAAATCCATTGCAAGAAGAGAGAGCAGACAGTCCCATCCCAGATGTTTCCACCAATTAGGAACATCTCATTCTGTCTACGGGTTTTGTTTTTTTCTAATCCCGTAAACTCCACTACAGCAGTGAGCATGGCTTGTTACTGTGTTTAGAAAATAAAAAAGTGTTACATAAAAAAATTCTTTAACTCTGAGCTTGTCTCTCCTGCAGCGGGAATCCCTTGGTTGTAAGAAACGTGCAGTGTTTCTCAAATTAAAAACAAACACAAATAAAATGTTTTTTTTCCATTATATAAAAAAATTCAGGACTGCTCCGTTCAAAAGTTTAATGGTCGCATCCTAAAACATTTTGGAAAAATTACAAATTTATAACCTTCTGTTCGCTAAAGAATCCTTGGTAAACATAGTCTACTGTACATTATATATTAGTAATATTGATCATTATCTGTAGTTTCCAATTCCGTGTTTGATAGTACTTGCCTTATGTATACTCCTAATGTACACTAAATATACACATCACGGACACTGCATATACACGTTTTGTAACTTTGAGAAGCCTTTAACCCCTTAAGGACACATGACATGTGTGACATGTCATGATTCCCTTTTATTCCAGAGGTTTGGTCCTTAAGGGGTTAAGGGCCATGACATACATCCACATTTATTATTATTATTATATTATTTATATAGCGCCATCAAATTCTGCCGCGCTTTACAATGGGTGGACGAACAGACATGTAGTTGTAACCAGACAAGTTGGACACACAGGAACAGAGGGGTTGAGGGCCCTGCTCAATGAGCTTACATGCTGGAGGGAGTGGGGTAAAATGACACAAAACGTAAGGATAGTATTAGACTAGTGACAGTTGCAGAAGAGGAATCAGTCAGGCGCTATTAACAGTTTAATTGATACCCCTTTGTGAAGAAGTGGGTTTTTAATGATTTTTTGAAGGAGTGGAGACTGGGTGAGCATCTAACGGAGGACGGAAGTCAGTTCCACAGGAACATTTCTACCTATTTTAGTCTTGTCTGTTAAAAATGACAAACACATGGATCATATTAAAAAACATTAGGATTATATATAAAAGCTAATTCAAACCTCAAACAGCAATCTCTTATATATGGAATGTTCCTGCAGAGTGTTCCATACTTAGAATTTTCCCCCAAGTAACAATTGGATGGAGGCTTCAACATGGTTTTTGATAATTACATTTCATTCACAGCCATCTGTTGTTTCAACGCCTCCTACGGTACATACTTTGTTAGGTTTTGTCAGCAGAACAGGAGAGATGCAGAGTATATTTTCAGAGGCCATCCTGTAATTGATAAAACCTTTTTGTTCTACAACAAAACAAACAAAATGACTGCATCAGCTTGACAACCATAATTTAGAATAAACTAATCTTTAATTTCAGCTTAACTGCATTTTGACAGCTGATTTACAAGCACTGTCACTTTATAAGGGGATTTTCCTAATACGAGGCCCTTCAGTTGTTCAAACACAAATTCCGCTAATTCTTTGATTGCCGTAGGCCGGCACAGGCCAAGCAGCCCTATAACTGCTGGCAGACCGGAGTTTGATCTCCCTTGTCTAACACCAGAGTAATGAAGGGATTAAACAGTTGTTCTTTAGCTGTATTGATAAGTGCTAGAATCCTGTTGTCCTGATCAATATCTCTGATAACTTAGAAGTGATTATGAATGAATAAGAACATGTTTGTTAAAATCTTTACAGCAGGAACATTTGAAAGGAGATTATGTAGAAACACGCATTAACCCCTTAAAGACCACATGCTGCCCTTTGCCCATGGAATGAGTTTATTATATTTGTCCTTGGGAGCCCATCCGAGCCTTGTACTTGCTAAATGACCAAATCAGTCAACTTTGGAAGAGGATCTTAAATCGACACTGTAGGCACCATAACTATTTCATCTCAGTGAATTGGTTATAGTCTCTAGAGTCACTTGCGCTGTTCTTCCATTCAGCATTAAAAATTTTTTTGTGTTTTAATACCAAACAACAGTCCCCAGCAACCTTTCCCCTCTGTACTGCTTGGGCTACTAAGGAAACATTAGTCTGACCATGGGTGGCTGTGATTGGTTGAGAGTGTCTGCTGACTGCTTTCTGCCTACCACAGTGCTTGTTCATGTATGAATTGGTATGGCTATAAGGAAGTGTTTAATCTCTGCCTTAGCCACACCTTCAGTGGGGGTGGAGCATGGACCCTCATTCACTGTTAAACTGCTAATAAATGGTTTAACAGTGAATACAGGGACAAGGTCACAGAACTCCAAGCACTATAATCACTTAATTGAGATGAAATATTTATCGTGCCTACAGTGTACCTTTAAAGAGCAGTTTGTTATGACAACGTAGGCAGTCATTGGTCCTTAAGATGTTAAAAATAAATAAATTCATGTCTAATGATTTTGCAGGACTTGTCTTTATGCCCAGTTGTTACCCTGTATAAGCATTGAATATCAGGTTTTTATCTAGAAGTTCAAAGAAAGAGAGTTGCCTCTAGATATCAGTCAGAAACCAGTTTATTCTAGATCACCTACACATTGACTTAATATCTAGCAGTGGAGTTCTTCAAAATGAATTATCTCTTTGAGTAATAACATTTCAGACAAGACTGAACTCATAGCAGGGTTTTAATTTCCTCGATCCTGACCTGAAGCTAGCTATTGTATAGAACAGCTAGGACCCACTTTATTATTTTTTATTCTATCTGTAACAGATATGACGGATGATAAAAAAAAAAAAAATGAAATAAATAAAAATGCTTAATCTGTAGAGATGTCCTGGAGGAGACTCACAAATGTCAGCTGTTTACGATGGCAGGAAGACAATGCGCACTGCGAGGTGTCTGCGTGCGTGATTTACAGATTAAAATCAATTGAGTTTTCATTTTCCTCCCGGGGTCCAATTACAAAACTGCGTGTGGATGGATACCCTGCAGTGTAGGAGAATTTGGCTAATCAACAACTATTTATAATTCTCATATTTTGTTAAATGTTTTTTTTTGTTTTGTTTTTTAAATTGTGCAGAAAGAACCCTTCAAAGCAGCCCTGTTAATTTGTGTTTGTTTTTCTGATGTCTCCTGTTTCTTAAAGATTGTACTCCCTCTCTTGCCACCTGCCTTTAATTTAAATGTACCTTTTTTTTTTTACTTGTGCTGAGTCTCGATATGTGGGAGCTGCCATTTTGTTCTTCTCTAAACATACAAAATTAAACCCTGAGCTCAAACGTCCACTACTCCTGGGCGGCAGCAATGAGTATAGTACACATCGGCCCCAATACATACAATAAAAACCAAAGTCAAAAATTACTTGCACACTGTCAAACTCCCTATGGACATTTAAATAACTGGAGGTGTGTTCGTATCACTCCAATGGCCATTAAAGTGTAAGCTCAGCTGCCACATCAAGGCAAAACCTCTTAGGTGAGTCCTACACTAACAAATCACCTTGCTGTCTTCAGCTAACAGGTAAAATCTCTCATGAGACTGAGAGGGGTATTTTTCTAAACTCCTACTTACTTACTTAACCCTTAATAAGTATTTCTTCTTTCAAGTGACTTGTCCGGTAGAGTGTAGGGAGGCTGTGCAGCCAGGCTAGGGATCTAACTACTTAAAGGATTACTCCAGCCATCATGAATACTTCAGCTTTTTGAAGTGGTCATGGTGGTTGGAGTCTGGATGCACAGGGTTTCTGCTTGAAACACTGCACATCCAGAGATGACTTACGCAGCCTGGAACTCTGTTCCGGACTGCCTAATGTCAATACAGTGCCTAATTTACAACTGTCGGCAGCATGCAGAGCCTGCAAGGGGAAGTTCTTGTCTGCCCTCCGCTCTTTTCCCACTCCACCATTCCCTTGTTAAATCTTCCAATCTAATCCATATGAGAAGCGTTTGATTGGATCGGCGTGGTTCCCTTGACATTAGACTGGGTTGTGCGCCAAGCACCACTGGGAGCTTTGCTTAGCGCTTATTTAAAAAGCGCTCTGAATGTGTTTTTTTATTTATTGATTAGGCATTATTCTATGAAGAAAGAAAAAAACGTATTTGGAGAAAATCTTTAATGGCTCAGAACTGAACATTGACAGGGTCATTCACATTGGTAGTGAGACCCGGTGAGACTGCAGAGTCATGACCTCTACGCACCAAATCACTTCAATAAACTAAAGAGGTTTTGGTGCTGAGATTGTCCCTTAGAATAATGAATATTTCATTCAAAATGAAAATACAAAATACACTGCATTGCTTAACTGGTTTTAGCACTCACAGCAATTCTTTGGGTGCTCCCTTCTACCCACCCAGGTCTCTCTTCTTCCGTATGAAAATCACAACAGCACTTCCCAAACTTTGGACTGGCACCAGCATGATTTACACACTAAATTTATTGCTAGTTCATTTGCATGTGAATTAAGCATGCAATCACTCTGTTCCCATAACCTTCTGTACAATATTGCCAAAGAATCAATTCTGCACCTACAGCACATTGCTGCACAGTTGTGTTGAAGGTAAGCAGGAGAACCCCTTGGGGGAAGGTTCTCCTGCTTACTGAGCATGCCAAACTGCTAAACAGCTCTTGGCATTCACAGATATGGCGACAGCTCTGCAGTCTATCTATAGTAATGATTAAAAGTGTCAACTTGCATGCATGAAACTTAAAGGGACACTATAGTCACCAGAACAACTACTGCTTATTTAATTTGTTCTCGTGAGTAGAATCATTACCTTCACGCTTTTTGCTATAAAGACGGTCTTTTCAGAGAAAATGCAGTGTTTACATTACAGCGTAGTGATAACTTCACTGGCCACTCCTTAGATGGCTGTTAGAGATCCTTCCTGGGTCATGGCTGCCTAAAATGCATCCAAACATTCAGTGTCTCCTCCCTCTGCATGCAGACACTGAACTTTCCTCAGAGATTCATTGATTAAATTCATCTCTGTGAGGAGATGCTGATTGGCCAGGGCTGTGTTTGAATCATGCTGGCTCTGCCCCTGATCTGCCTCTTTGTCAGTCTCAGCCAATCCTATGGGGAAGCACTGTGATTGGATCAGGCTACCACTTCTGATGATGTCAGCAGACTGCTTGTTTTTTTCTGAGGCAAACAGCATGCAGAGTTACAGCTTCTGGCTAGAATACAGTAAGATTTTGCTATATTTATGGGGGCATGAGGAGCCCATGGGGCTAGATGGTGGTTTTAACACTATAGGGTCAGGAATACATGTTTGTGTTCCTGACCCTATAGTGATCCTTTAAGGTTCTTTCAAATGAGAGTAATGTAGCCATGACAGGTAGACTTTAACAACAACAAAAAGTCCAGCATGGATATGGAAGCAATGTGCAATACTGGTAAGAAATATATCAGATATATACATGAATGCAATGGTAACAAAAACATTTTTTAAGTAAATATGGAACCTGTGGTAATATGATCCTTAAAGTTGGTGGAAAACTATACAGCCCTACCTTCATACAATACATCACAAATTCAAAGACTACGCAAAACATAGGTTCTTGTGCACTAGCAAGTTCTATTTTTTTTTTCCTTTTTAATTATTTTTACCAAATATTTTATTTCCTTTGACAGAGACTTTAGGATTTTTCCATATTTGAACAAAAGTGTGTTTTAGAGGGAATTATAGAAAACATACTAAATTTATAATGAGAACACAAGATTTCAGTTTTTAGTGTAAATATGCAAAGAATAAAACGAACAGAGACGCTAGATAAACAGTCCTTTGTCCAAGCTGTACACGGCACACAGCACATTTTCCATTTATGTTGTTAAGTTGTGTCTAAGTTCGCAGTCCATTTAACACATTTTGATTAATAAGATATTTTAGATTAAGTGGTGATGCATGTTGTATTACTTTCCAATACACACAGCATCATTTCCTAAGCCCAGCGGGATTTAAAAGTAGAACAATTTTGCCGTGTTTCCATGCAGCATAAAGTTATGACTAACTGGCATTTACGTGATTCTTTGGAGGAACAGTCACAGTTTATTATGACCCCCTAAGCAGTGTTTTTCTTCATACGCCTCACTGTAAAATTGGTCTGCATTCTACAAAAAAAAAAAAAAACTAATACAGCAATCACTTGGTTATATCTTAACAGCAGGACCGTCTTTAAAGGGGGCAAACGGGGCAGCTGCTTCGGGCCCAGTTACTCCTTGGGGGCTCAAAGCAGCTGCCCCATGGGGCCCGTGCCGGAGACCAAACCCGGTACGCTGCAGCACCCTTTCAGGTTGCCTGCTGGGAGGAAGTGAGGTGAGATCACTTCCTCCCAAGTAACACAGCACCGCTGGAGAGGTGAAGGAGGCACACACAGAAGGAGGAGAGGGATTATGGAAGTCAGATTCCCATCAGCCTTGGCCATCCAGCTCCTGCTGGACACCAGGGAAGCCACCCTTCTGTACCCAAAAGGTAAGGAGACAGGAGGGTGGCTAAAATATGATGTAAATTGATATATGTGTGTGTACATGTGTCTGAGTCAGTGCATCTGGCTATACATGTGTATGTGTATCTGGCTGTGTGTATGTCTGTGTGTATCTGGCTATTTGTGTCTCTGTATGTACATCTGTGTGAATGTATACCTGTGTGTGTGTGTGTGTGTGTGTATATATATATATATGTGTCAGTATGTATAAGTGTGTATTTATGCATCTGGCGATGCATCCATCCAAGCATTCCAATGCCAACACTGCACACACATACACTAACACTGCACACAAATACACCCCTGCATTCCAACACTAACACTGCACACAAATACACTATTGCATTACAACAACATTGCACAAAAATAAACAACTGCATGTGTGTCTGTGTTCCTGTGTGTATCTCAGTGTTTGTGTAAGTGTGCATCTGTGTGCATGTGGCAATGCATACATACCAGCATTTCAACACCAACACTGCACACACATACACCTCTGCATGTGTACCTGTGTGCATCTGTGTGTAGATGTGCCAGTGTGTGTATCTGTGTGTATGCACCAGTGCCTGTTTCAAAGTTTGTGTATCTGTGTGTGTGTGTATATATGCCAGTGCTAAAAATTATATACAAACAGCAACTCAATACACAAAAGCACAACTGCATTTAAAAGCCAACACTACATACAAACACACACCCCTGCATTCAAACGCAAACACTACATACAAGTACACCACTGCATTCCAGTGGTAACAGTAAATACAAATACACCCCTGCATGCACACACATACTCTATACAAAACATGCTTACATTCAAATGCACAAACATGGCTCACAAATATAACCCTACAAGAATGGCCAAATGGTAGATCCCCAGCTGGAATTACATCGTGGGAGTTGTACAAAAGATGGGTATCTATCTTTTCTCCACTCTTGCACTAGAGGGGAGACCCCAAAAAATTCTTGCACCAGGCCAACTCTACGTTAGTTCCATCACTAGGTTGGGGAGGAGGCAGTGATTGCATGCCAGGGCGCTGGGAGTGGGGGGAGGGCAGTATCCAGGAGGCCCAAACAAATGCTTGCCCAGGGCTCAAACAATATTTAAGATGGCCCTGCTTGACAGAACTATGGCAATCGTAAAACCTTCACATGAAATGTCTGCATGGATTCTGTGACGATAGCTGTAACGTATCTGATCTTCGTGCATACTGTAACTCTTTCTTTACACGTTCCAGGCTCTCTCTTGGATTGCGCATCAGTCAGAGCACATCTGTGCATTTAACAAATGTCCTATTTGAAATGTGTCAAAAGCAGGGGTGTCTAAAAGGAAGATTCCCAGATGCTGTAGAACTACAACTCCCATGATGTATTCCTTTAGAATGACAAAGCATCATGGAAGCTGCAGTTTTAAAACATCTGGGGATCTACCTTTGAACATTGGAGTTCTGATAGTTTGGCTTAAATACTTATATATACACAAGATAAAATGTTGTAAATGTATATGAAGATATATATATATATATATATATATATATATATATATATCTGATATAATTATTTGCAGCCACCTCCAACTGTGACTTTCTGTAGAACAAACTCCATTCACAGCAATCTGTCTGACAACAGGTCCACTCGAAGTGTATTGTGCAGCTCAGTTTCTGCTTTAATGTCCTTTGTAATTATTCTTTAATATAAGTAATTCTAACTAAATTTACGACCTACATTAATAGAGGTATTGCTAGAGCACCAGAAAATAAAAAAAGTGTTAAAGTAAATGGGACAAAAAAGGTGTTTAGGTTAAGTCCTATGCAATCATTTCAAATTGTGTACCCATGGCCGTTCCTCAGGAAAACGGCTAACTCTTTATTTAGGTTATTATGCTTGGTGGCTTGTACCTCTAAGCTAAACAAAAGCAGGCGTAAACCCAGAGTACCGGTTTTAACTGTTAATAGTAATTTTATTATATTTTGGGTGCAAATCATGATACTGGATAAATCAAATGCATTTATCCACAAATTTACAATGGAAATGGTTATACATACACTATATAGATCACAAGCTTTCTTTGTTACAGTCAATTTTTTATACTATTTAGAAAGAATTCTATTGATAAATAAGTTCTGTGCACAGTACTGGCCTTCACTGAACACCACAGAACCTTGTTATGCAAAATATAGCTTCTATCTCGGAACATAGCGCTTTAAAAGACTCTAAAGCATGCATCATATAGGATGACTTTAAGCAGGGCAACATCATTATATGCAACCTTACAAAAAGATAATTAACAGGTGAAGCCCACATGTAACAACCCATAGTTAAGGATTTTTAAACCCGACGGCTGAAAGTACTAGGAAGAAAGATGAAGGATAAAGTTCCAGAAGTGCTAATATACAGTACAAGAAGAATTTGCAAATGAGTAGGAAATTATTGAAAAAAAGAGCTTTCTTTATCCTTTTGAGTAACTAACATTTCTGGCAAACAGAGGTAAAACTCATCAATGCACTTGCATTGGAGAGATTCACAGCCCAGAACATCAACACCGCAGAAGGGGTTTAGCAAGAGCTCTGGTCCAGCCTGAAGTATCTCCATTTTCCATAAATAAACAACTGCTTTGAAGTGCTTAGAAGAATGTTATCAATGGGAATCATTTTTGTGTACTTGGCATTTCCAAAAGGCACAAGCTATGGACATGAACTTTATCTATCATGGTTTTAAAAAAAAAAAAACAACGACAAAACTTGTCAATGAAGAGAAAACATGAAGTAGGACGTGTGGTGATGACTGAAAGGGTTGCTCTTTAAAGAACGAGACCTTCGTACATCGGCCCTTCTGCCTCTGGAGCTTCTCTCCGTAGACGTAAATGCTCCAGGGTGTTGTGAAAGTGTTTGTTTATTTGTTCGGTTTCCTCACTGGCTTCAAGGTTTGGAAGATCTTCTCTGATCTTCTGGATAAGCTGGTTCAAAACCTGGACAGTGACCTACACAAAATAAACCCATTAATGAAATATATATATCTTTATTTATTTATAAGTCTCCCATGTTTTAATTAACAAATGTGCTTTACAGTCACAAAGTAAAATGTTTAGGGATACAAGGGTGTCTGGAAACTCTAGCGCTATTGCTAAGATTTCTACAGTAGAAATCCAACAATTTAACTTTAATTCCCAGAAATCCTTGCGTCTACCAATTTTCAATGTAATGTTTTTGAATATCTTTAAGGCATGATCTACATAATAATAGAAAGAGAATTATTATTATTATTCGGGTTAACTTTTATTTAGTTTATTTTCTTAATATGCACAAGCAGTATTTTGCCGGCAAAGTGATACTCTAAGCTCAATATCCCTGGTCAATGAATTAAATTATAACCGCTCGTTTAATTCCCACGGTGGCTAACCAGGATGCAAGCAGAAACAGTTCCAACAGTTTTACAGAGTGCCTTCTAACCAGTACACACAAAGTGGATGTTCAATTAGGCAGGAAATAAAGAGTGGAGAATAAAGAGGTTTTTGAATTCCTAGGACTTCTCCCATATGCAACATTTTAATTCAAAAACCAATCATTTTTACACCTTCACTTTGATGCACAGTAGGCTCTCACCTTCAAATACCTCTTTCTACGTGGCAAGCAAAGTAATGATATGAATTGAAGGGCAAGGAGAGGCATGTACACTTACCGCATCATTTTCCTTTTCATAGAAGTAGATATATCTGTTGAGAATTTCGATAAAGAGCTGAACTTGTAGGGAGGGATCCATGCACTGATTAGCTATCTTGAGGGCTTTTTTCAAACACTCCATAACTCTCTTTCCACTGTGAATCTAAATTGCAAATGTTACAGATAACGAAGATTAAACACCGCGCGCAATTCTCTCAAGCTCTGATTAAGAAAACAATTTGTACAAATCAAATTTCTAAATGGAAAAAAATAAATAAATGCCACCTCTTAAGAAGCAGTAATGCAGTTAAGGTCTATGCCGTTATAACAATCTGGTCTTGTTCCAAATAGAAGGTCCTACTCATCAAGTGGCTGACCTGCTGTGTGGCGAGGTTATAGAAACATAGAATGTGACGGCATATAAGAACCATTCGGCCCATCTAGTCTGCCCAATTTTCTAAATACTTTCATGAGTCCCTAGCCCTATCTTATAGTTAGGATAGCCTTATGCCTATCCCACGCATGCTTAAAATCCTTTACTGGTTATTGCGAACGTATTGTATTCCATGACGATACAGTCTACAGGGGCCAGACTTAGATGATATCAAGGATTATTACTGGTTCTTAAAGGGTTAGCTAAAAAAATTAAAGCGTATGATTCTTAGCAACACAGAAACATTTGTCATAAAAAGGAAAAGCTGAAAGTCTGGATCCCTGCTGGGATGCGTTTTGTGTGATTAGAGTTTTGACTAGAGACCAAGAAAGATAAATGGAAAAAAGGCATCAGGAAATGGAAATCTGGAACGCTTCCCAAATACCACCAAAGCAGAAAGGACAAAGTAGGAGGAAAACAACACAGACTGTGTAAGGTGTATGAGGTGCCGAGATACAGGAGCAGAGAGCAGCCTAAATGGATACAAAGAGATGGAAGGGCAACGAGGGTAGAGGCTGCAGGGGGGAGGGGAGGTGATTGAAACAGCAATGATTGTGTAGAGATGGAGGGGGATATGACAGGCAGAATAAAAAGAGAGGCACGGATCTGTGCAGGAAAATTTGTAAGCCACGTGACACGTGGGATGATGTGTCAAAAGAAGCAGCAGACAGCAGGCAAATATTGGAGGAAAGCAGGGGTGACACTAACACCTTGGTTATGGCAAACTAAGTGTTTATGAAACAGATAGGAAAACAGGAAACAGTTCAAAGACAGCAAAGCAGATAGATGTACAAAACAGAGAAAAAATAAATAAAGGATGCAAAATGACAGATACTTGGATCAGGAATTCCTCTAGTTAACGGATTATGGACCTCTGCTAGCTGAACATCACAGACAAACACACACACACTTCATTATTAAGAATAAAAATTACAAAACGAAAAGCAGAAATGCACAGAATACTTATTGTTCAACTGCATTCTAAACAAAGAGTCCTGCTTACATCACCTGCTTATGCTGAACACCTTTGGTCGAGACCTCTCCTGAATTAAACATATTTCATTTCACCCTTTGCATATATACAATCTGCTATACCGTGAAGAAGGGCAGAAATGGGTGTTTCATGAGAAACACCTTTACGTGAACTATTTAAAGTATGTGGATGGTAGAATAGCTGTTAAAGTCAGTGCGATCACGAACGGTTACTATACTATATGTGCAAGGTACTGGTTCATTAAAACGCCAGTCGATCGCACACTTTGTGTTGTATTCCATGTCTGCCACTGAGTTCAGGATAGGACAAGGTACAGTTGTGGGTGTTTAAATAGACCGGTGTAGTATGCATACGTATGTGGGCGTACAGGATATTTTAGACTTCCTTTTACCGCAGAAATAAAAAAAAATAAAGAAAACAGTCCTTCTGAATGAGACAACGGGTTCAGAAAAAAAGCTAGACTACGCTGTCAGCGACTGCGTAATCCTGATGAAGTATCCAAAAATAGGTGGAAAGTCTGAAGACAAATGCAATTGCAAATGCTTAGGGGAGGAAAGGTGAAAAAAAAAAAAATTTAAAACATTGGACCCATTCAGGAGAAGAGGGGAGTTAAATTCTAGGATATCATGACAGAACATCATAAATTAATCAATCTATAGACTAGAGATTCACTAGATTATTTTTCTATCCTGT